ATGACCAACGTTACGGATTTATAGCAAAATTGCCTCATAAGGAAATTACCGGCAATGTTTAATCCGGACATGTAGATCGATGTGTAAGCCCATAAGAATTTTGAATTTCTAAACTTATCTTGTCTTTGTGATTAGCCAGAACCAGAAACTTTCTTATCATATATAAAAAGCTGGTGTGTAACTATTGAAATGGAACTAAGTTTCATGAAGGTATTTAAGAGAAGACAAATTTTTGTCGTGATATAAAAATCTTTCGATTCGATATATTTAGTAAATATAATCTTGATTACTTAATTTTTTTTTTTAATGTTTCTATTACATTTGTCTAGTAGTATAAAGCTATGTCAAGCAACGATAACCCTCCATCGGGAACTCAACCAATACCAGTGCCCGAAAAACCCGAAGTTAATCTTGGTCGTGGCAATAATCCGGGAGTCTATTGATGCAAAAGAAAGAAATACAGACTTATACAAGATTGCACAAGAGGAACAAGAGAGGACTAATGAACAAGCTGAACAAGCAGGGGGCAATGAATAAAAATAACTTAAAATTCTAAGTCTTCTAAAAATGGTCGCTTCACTCTTTTTAAATTATTCTGCAAAGTTCACATTAAATATCCTTCTCTTTTAAATATGTCAAATCAAGAAAATTTTTAGCATTTATAAATAAAATTTGAGGTACACGGTAGCAACCAAAAATTTTTCTCGCCGTCACCAAAAAATAGTGACAACTATACATATTAAGATAATGCATATATATCTCATAATGTTATTTAGAATTGCTATCAAATTGACTTCGCCTATGTTTAAAACACGTTATATTAAAGTATGCTTATTTTGTTTGCTGGAATTTTTGACACCAGAAATATATCCAAGAACATACATAGTAAAAAAGTGGGTTAACTTTGACTATATAACTATGAGTAAATCTGATGTTACCTATCCGAAAACATATCCAAAAACATATCATTAAATGGGTAGGATTCTCCCACATTCTCTACTAGAGTTACCGAAGTTACCTACCCTGAAAACACCGAAAACATACCATAGAAATATGTTCCAATTTCACTCATGCTAATAACATGTTATATCGAAGTATGCCAAATTTTTTGTCACCATGAAAAATTCTGTCTTCATGAAAAAAATCTCATAGTGACACTTCATGGTTGACACTTTTCTATACTTCCTTGATATCTTTTAGTTATTTTATTTATTTCCTGATTAGTTTCTTATATTTGTCACTATTGTTACTAAGAAATTAAAACTTTTAGGAAAAAAAACGAACCTTTTTCATGTACCTATATACGATATATGCTATATATACTTATAGATATATTGTATATACACCTATGATATATATAGATAAAAAAAGAAAAAAAAAGTAAAGAAGTTCGATTTTTCATAGGTACTCATGGTGACATAGTGACACTTATCTAGTTAGAGCTCCAACTCTCTAAAAATAAAAGATAGCTATTCGGAACTGTCACCATGAATTTTTGTCACTTAGAATGATATACCTGAACACTATGTATTTTTTTCTATCAACCAACACCGTTTTGTGCCAGCTTCTTTCGCTGATATCGATCCCGTCTTCGATATTTATCTGCATGAGTATCACAATAGTCATGACCAGAATAGGTCAACTTACCACATTCTTTACAAGATACGCGTGGTGGAGAATCCCAGTGAACTAATGTCAATAATTTTTATCAGGTTCCAGAATTATGTAATAACTGCAATAAAAAATAAAATAATTTTTAAAAAACAAACTATATATACTAATTCCTAAGTTTTTTAAGTTTTGTGCAAATTTTTGAGGGATAGTACGTATTTAGGATTAGAATTAAGGTTTGGGAAGGTTTTAGGGGCGTAGAGTAATTTTACTTAGAGCACCACGTACTAATTAATTAACCAGTTTTAAGATATTGCAATATCGGCGGTAAAACACCATAGGTGTGTTTTAGTAAAGGTGATATATTTATATAAAAATTATAAAGCCAGCACTTTTGCATTGAGAACATTTTTGGTTAGAGCATAGAGTAACTTAAATATAACGGTAATCTAGTAGGGCCACGTGTGTGAAAACTATGGGAGTTCCGAACTTTAGAGATGAACCATTCAAGTGTCAAAAAGTGCATACTCACGATTTTTAACTGCTACCATCTAAAATGATTAATCGAGTATCATTATCGTTAACATGGTCAGAAAAATTTAAATTTTAACCATTTGACCGAATTTTAAAGACAAATACTGTAGATTGAATAGATACTTGCAAGTGTTTACTCAATCAAATATTGTAAAAAGAATATCATAAACCAAATTAAGTTCGCACTCCGGAATCAGTATTTAGACGCTATTCACTTTTTAACAACTCGTATGATGTCACTTGAAACGCGCGGAAATATAAAGATGTCACTTTATTTTTGCAAGCATAAAAACAATTTTAATATATTCGCATTTCGAAATGAAAGTGGAGAAAACACTACTAACGTGAGGCGCATCATGTCCGTAATAGTAAATGTAAGAAAAAAGGTCAGAGATTGTCAAACAATACAATGTACGGCTACCGTATTTTCGCGTAACAACGCCATCTACGTGTTATTTCAAGTACGCGCATGTGCGTTATTTTGAGTTAAAGGAACATAGGAAACCATTTACGTAATTGCTGATCTACTAAACATGCGCGTTATTTCGGGACGAGCATGAGTGTCATTTCGCGTCATGCGTGTTATTTTGGGTGATACAATTTTTGAAATAACGCTTATAAGCGTTACTACGCAAAAAATATGGTAGTAGATGCGAGCTAACTTAAGAGGCTGCTGGAGATGCTATAAAGCAGCAGTAAATGTCGGTAAATTAAATTATTATTTTTTTTTGCCCATTAACACTTTGTTACTTAATACATACAATAGTGACATAGTCATTAATATAATAAATTAGCTCGTACTAGAGTTGCTTAGCCTGTAATGAACCTGTTCAACTTTACTAACTTAAGCTGAACTGAGGCAAGCTACCATCTGCATCTCTACTCTCGTCTCAAATAAAGTTCAATAGCTGTAGAAAATGCGGCAAACCCTGCACATCCAAACAAAGCATTCTGAGGCCCTGTCTTAGCAGCTAGTACTGCACCAGTTATACATCCTGCAGCTACACCATTATATATATCATTTTTGGCGCGATACTATTTTTTCGAAAATATTATTCAGAATTTGAAAAAAAAAGAAAAAAAAAAGAAGAGAGAATAAAAGAAAGTTTGATAAACTACTTTTACAAACATACCCCCTCTATAATGCATTCAGTACCAGAAAATATTGCACCAACAATAGCAAAGTTCTTAGCTGTAGAATAAGTCCTTTTAGCCATATCTTTTGCGGTAGCTTTTAATTGTTGTTTCATTGGTTGTTCATATATTGCTGGGTCAACTGGTGTCATATCGAACGAAGAAAAGAACATTCCGAAAAGACCACCAAGTCCAAATCCTGTTTTTGTGGAGAATAATAAAGCAAGATTAATGGGTGAAATGTCGGATAAGGTAGTTTTTTGAGACAAAAGTAATCAAAAGAGTGGGGTTTTTTTTTTTTTAGTTTTACCTAATACACCGCTTAGAGCAGTTTTGAAAATACATGAATCTTGAACCATTTGCATGTATATTAATTCTTTTGGAACGGGCTCTTTATTTGGGAATGCCATATTATATGTGTTAAAGGTTCAACGAGATCAACGATTCGAGAATGATAAAATTTATTTGATTAGATCTAAGATCATGTGATTTAGAGTAAGACAGGATTTATTAGGCATAAGACGCCAAATGATACGTAAAAAGATGTTATCTGAAGATCGGTAAACGTTACATCTCCGACTAGTCTTCTTTCACTTCTTTATATCAAAGAAAAAAAATATTAAATGAATAAGTAAATAAAAATAAAAGATGATACAGCACAAGTCATTTTATTTACCATCAGTTCGAAATTTTTTTAAGACAATATTTTGGTTATGTATTTATACCACATTGTATACATATGTAAAAGCTGAGGACAGTTCGGCTGACTGTAAAGTCACCAATGCTACTTCACAACTAACTTATGACTTGTCAGGCTTGAAAAGAACAGAGTATGCTATTTGGTTTTTAATGAGTAATGGCTTGGGAATATTTTCTACATAAAAAGATTTTTTTTGCTAATATATTTTATATTATAAACTAATGAATTTTTTTTCAAATGCAGAGATTGGAAGATTGAATCGAAAGATTTCAATTATAAATTTAGAATGAGTGTTTGTAGGGCTTTAAATGATCCTGGTAATGTTAAACAAAAAGAGAATGCTGGTGTTTGGGGTAGCAAAACTTCCGAGGAAAATTTAGGGTAAGTTTATAATATCCTGTTGATTATATGTCTTGCATGTAAGAATTTTGTATCACCGCTGGTTCAATTTATCCTAATTTTCCACATAAACCACTTGAGTCTCTTATTTTAAAAGTTGATTTAGACTCTCAGGATCTTGTAAAGGAGGGAATCTACTATCAAACGAGATTTTGTATATAGAAATATGTAAAACCAACAACTGATATCGTATGTAATTAAAACCATTGTTATGGATACGAGTCTTGTACTTTTCACCTTTTACCGACATAAGTTATAAACATAATGTGGTGGTGGTTTATGCGGAAGATTACGATACTGTGTTCATACGTAGGCACTGTTATTGTAATCGATTGTTTATAATGAGGACTTGATTAACGATTATTAAAAAAAAATAATGATTTTTATTATCATATTACACGTATCAACACAGTAAATTGGTTTATGTATTCATTATTTCTATTTATTTATTGTGTTCCTAAAATTTTATCATATTCCATTTATAATATAAAAAAGCAATTACAATATGACTCCATATTTGATAGGTATCGTAATACATTTCAAATATCTATTCATCTATAACCGCTTTACCTATGCTCATTTTCTTTCTTTTCAGATGATATGTTATTTTTGAAATACGAAGGAGGTGAAAATAATTACTGCAAGACAACAGATTCGACGTATTTCTATACGTCTTTGATTCGTTTTATTTGTGATCAAACGGTTGATAAATCAGTGAGTTATTTTTAGGGAAATTTCTCACTACTGTTGTTTGATTCTTTTTATAATTTAAATTGCTTTTACTGTAGAATCCTCCAAAGCTCATCAACGTATTCAATGATTGCGCATTTTGGTTTGAATGGAGAACACCTATTGCATGTCCTGTAAAGATGAATAGTCAGAGTACGAGCCCTATAGGTGTTTTTTTCACAATGTGAGTTTAATACTTTCATTTTTAATATTACATCTTATATATACATCAATCATTTTCAATGTACATATAATTTATTTTGTAGTCTTGGAATCGCATTGGCAGTCTACTTTATAGGCGGAGTTGTATATAATCGAATAGTTTATAATGCTTCAGGGGTACGCCAAATCCCTCATTGGGAATTCTGGAGGGATACATTGGATTTCACTAAGGTACTAGTTGCAGATTTTTTCGCATTATTTATCCTTTGTTTTTATCACTTAGTCAATTAACGTGAATATATCACTTCAGGATATGATTCTGATAATACTAGCACAATGTCCTATTCCTATATTTCAACCAAGACGTCGACCTGGAAACTATAGAAATTTGCCAAGAGATGAGGAACATATTTTAATTGACGAAGAATTTGAAGAACATTAAAAGTTTTTTTGTTTTTTTTTTCAGTAGAATTAGCAATTACAATGTAGTTATAGTAATTGTAATATAAATGTATAACTAGTTTAAGCGTCTATTATAATAAAATTATCTGAATTTGATTTATTATTCTAAGGTATCGAAATCATCGGGTATTTCGAATTGCCTATTAAAATCGGCTCGTTCAATATTGTATTTATTTGCGCAATAAGATTGGAGTATGAAGATGTTATCTGTTGAGAAATTAAATTTATTGCTCATGTAACAGTATTAAATATTAAAACTATAAAGTATATGAGCATTTCTTACCTGTCCAACGATTAGCCCCTTCCAAGTATAATTTAGCGTATCTCTCTTTAAATTAAAAACAAAACAAAACAAAACAACGTTAATAATAAGAATCAAAAACTAATGAACATGATTTCGTTAACAACCTTTGTCATTTAAAGTCACTGGATCACATTCACGATAACGCTTCAGTTCTTCTTCATTCTTCTTGTCCAAGGCTTCGGCCTCTGCTAAAGTTTTCAACAAGGAAGCTCGTTCAGCCTGTTGGTTAAAGAAGTGTTAATATATTAGATAAATTAATGTAAGTTAAATTAAATTCACATACCGAATCTTCACGACCGCCAGAAGCCTTTTCGATATTCGCTTGTATATCAGCATTTTTTTCTTTCAATTTGTTGATTTCTTCTTGGAGCTCTTCGATTTTAATTGTTCGCTAACAATTTAAACCAAAAAAAAAATTTATTAATGGAACTAATAGTATATAATATTGATTAGAAATTGCCTTACCGATTGAAGAGCGCTGCTAGGAAACGACCAAAAATAATTTGATGTACCAATTTTATCTTGAGAGACAAGGTTATCGTTTACTAATTCTTGAAGAACATCTTTAACCGATTGTGACACTTTATAAAAAAAAAAAATTATGTAAATAAATGAATAGTTGAATTAGATGAAATTTAGTTAGGTTTACCTATTCCTTTTCGTTTTGGCGCAAGCTTCTCAAGTTCTTTAAGTTGGTAAAAGGTTTTCTGAGATATCGATTTGCATCAAAAATCTTAATACATATATTAATCTTAAAGGTATATAAGCGATAGGTTAAATACCGTCTCATGAAATAATTCTTCAAGTCTTTTACGCTTTTCAGCAGCTGAGAGCTTTTTTGTCGACTATTTTGAGAATTACGTGAGATTTACGGGTGCAGCAAGTTAATAGTAATTCAAATCATTATCTTTTCCGAAAAACGAAGTTAGTTTAAATGATACCATCTGGGTTTCGCTGTTGTATGAAAGAGGTGAAGTGTTTTTGAAAGGTCAAGTAAACTTTTATTATTTGACGCGTCTGTGTAACGCAGATCAACCCATTTTTATTGGTAAACTAGAGATGAACGGCTAAGCCGAGCCAGTTAACGGCTCAGCTCCAGACCTACTAATAAAGCATCGGCTCTAAAAACGGCTCGGCTCCAACTTTGAGCTGATCGTGGAGCTGTAAGCCGATAGGTTTATATCATATGGGATCTTTGCTATCAAAATGACCCTCCGAGGCTATGTTGATTTTGTGAATAAAAATTAAATTTGCCAGGCATCTAGTTATCCAATTTGAATGAAATTTTTTTTTATTCGTAGATTTACAAAAAAAAGTTATTCAAATTGAATTACTAGATAGCTGGCAAATTTGATTTTTATTCACAAAATCAACATAGCCTCGGAGGGTCATTTTAATATATTACTTTTACCATACCTGTGTGCTAACTAATTGACCCCTGTGTATTATTTCGAATACGCCATGTACGTTATTATTTCGAAATAAGAGAAGACTTTCTAAATTCAATATAGTTGACCTTCAATAAATGCACGCTGTTGGGTAATAAAATATTCATTATGGTGAATAATCTACATATAATACGTATATATTATTAAATAATTAATTATATCTGATATGCACTTATCATTATAGGGAAAGTGCATGTGAAGCGCACTTATACGTAGAGTATGTGCATATGGAATATCGACTGTATATCTATCGTAACAGTAAATTACGCTAGCCAGCCCATAAAAAAAAATGTAGCTGACAATAATTCAGCGAATTTTTTTTATTTTATGCGACGATAATTTATATTATGCACTTAGCGATGATTAATATATATTTTTTCTTTTAACTAAACACTTTAGCATCGTGCACATATAAAAATAATTGAAAGTTGAATTATATGAACAATACATTGTATTATGATTTAAATCTGCCAAGTTGTTTTGCGGTTTTCAAGTCTTCAACCATATTTTTCTAAAGCTTTAAAATTTGAATGGACAGAATTTAGCCAAATATTTCGATTCGGTTTATTTCGTGAAATGTTTACTATAATATATAATAATTTGATAATATATAATTTAATGTTGACATTTTAAAAGAATACGATGTTTCTTACTTCGAGCACATCACATAAGTGATTTAAATTGGTCCATTCGAATTTTCTTTATCATCGTCGCTGTTAAGTATGAAGTCATTTTTATTGCATAATTTTCTTATCTTGTTTCGTATACAAGTTTTCCATCCATATTATATTAAATATTAAGGGAATTTACATATAAGGGCTCGAAAAATGAAAATAATTACAAATAAGGGCCCAAAGTAAAAATAATTACATATAAGGGCCAAAATTTTAAAAAATATTACAATCAAGGGCCCAAATTTATCATAAGATTGCAAATTTTTAGCATATAAAATTATATAAATGTAATTGTCTTTTGACATTTAAACGTATTTACTTTTGCATTTATTCTCTTAGCGACTTTCATGTAAAAATTCTAACCACTTTTGCCGATTTTTAAAAGTAATTTAATTCTCTACGAATAAAAATGAGCTTCTTCGGTTCTAAATATCTTCGATTAATGCATAGTAACCTTCACAAAATATTATTTCACTAGTTTGGTATAGCGAAAGGTTAAACATATTAGTATAGAACCGAATAAACATTATAATATCAATATATATCGTATTTAACCTAGTCTAATTGCTTCTTGGTTAAAAGAAAGTTCATTAAGTGAAATGTAAGTATAAATTGTTTAAATCAATACATCATAACGCAAATTATTTTGGCCCTTAATTGTAAAATTTTTTCAAAATTTAGGCCTTATGTAATTATTTTCACTTTGGGCCCTTATTTGTAATTATTTTCATTTTTCGGGCCCTTATATATAAATTCCCCTAAATATTAACGTTAATGTTAAAATCTTTATACAACATACGGAAACAGTATAACACTATAATGATAATTAATGATTATTAATAATCAAAGTTAACCGTCCTAATTGCGTGATGATAGTAACGTCAGCTACATTTTATACTAGGTTGACTCATGAGCGCTAATTCGAGACCATATAAGTTGTTTTTGGAAGACTCGATTTTCAAAATAACGCTCACGAACATTATTTCATGCGGTTACGAGTTAACTTCCCGAAATCAATCCCATTTCACAGAAGTCATAATACTCAGCGTTGCTCCGGACATGGACATGAATATGGACCGTCCATGGACATAGAGAGACAATAGAGTGTCCAATGTCCATGTCCATGGACCGTCTGTCCATGGACATAGACTGCCTATGTCCACATGTCCATGGACGTGTGTCCATGTCCATAGACAGGTATCCGGAACAACACTGAATAATACTGACATAATTCCGAAAATCTCATTTTACCGAAATATCATTTAATTGATAATAATTTACTGATAAGTCATTTATCTGCAATTTCTATTTCACTGAATATCAAATAGATGAATGTCTATTTTACTACATGCCATTTTTCCGAATGGTACATTTTTCTGACATTCTATTTCTTTGAAAATATATTACTGAAAGCTCTTTTACCGAGGGATGTTTTACCGAATTTACATCTATTTTTATAAATTCTGGGTCACTTGATAACTCGAAAAAAGGTATAAACTAATTTGCCGACAACCATTTCACTGACAGCCATTCACGACCTGGTTTATGTTGAGTTGGCCTGATTTATGCAATTTTGCCAGCCGGCCCTTTCCTTTATCATATATTATTTTATGAAAAGAATATAATAAAGATTTCACTTCGAATTTTCTAAACGTGTGTGTATTTTATGTGTATATATGTTCTCAAATATAAATTTTGTGTTCGCTTATCAATGAAAAATAATTTGCCCATACCTGGCTTGTAATAAAAAAATTAAGCGTCAAACTTCTTAAAAAAGAGAAATAACTTGATATATTTCTCTTGTTGCCTCACTTTTCATTTAATAAAATTTTACCTAAATAAGGCTTTATATTTTTTAATATGCATTGGAAAAAATAAGTTGCGCAAATATTTATTTCATGATTTATTACATTTTTATGATTTAAAATAAAAAGTTATATATGCATTGTAGCTTGTAATAAAAATTTATTTATATTCCATCTAGCGAGTTAATTCTAATTCCTAATTGTAGTGCCCACGAACTGGTCAAAGTGAATAATCATCAATAATTGATTCAAAGTTTTTCACATGAACACTATGCATCCAGACATTTAAAGTTGTAAAAGTCTTTTTAATCTCCTTTCTTCCTTGCGCAATTTCGGCGACTCTTTATCCACGATCTCACTCAATAAAAAAGTAATTCTTTTTCATTTTTTGAGTTTTGACGGGTCAATATGATGGGAGTCTTCAATTAATTGTAATGCTAACGCAAAAAGATATCCGTCATAAATGTAACCGTTGTAGAACAAACGTGGAATATCACGACCTAATATCAATATTGCAATAGACAAGTTAATATTATCCAAAAATATTATGGATATAGTTGTTAGACGAAACCTTTTTCGCATGATGACGAAAGACGAAACCTAAACCCCAAAAGACCAAATTCTTCTGACGAAAGACGAAGCCTTAAGCTTAAAATGACGAAACCTTACACTCAAAAAACCAAAGCTTAGTGCTCCCGCTAAAAAAAAAACACACAAAAAGAGAACAATCGTTATTTTCATTCATAATTTATTCAGAGATCAGTACATGTATGCTGGCAAAAATAAACCAGTTCATTTTTTCTGGACAACGCTAGGGTTGTTATAAGCCAGTCGAATAACCTTGTCAAAAAGCCATAGTACTCATGGAATAATGAATTAAACCAAATAAATTTGTAAGATCACAAAGTAAGCGCCAAGCGATTTCTCACTACTCATTTCTAACTTCCTTTAAACAATTCAAGTGCCTATTATATACTAAAATTTTTTGCAATTTTTATACATTTCTATATTTTATCACCCTTTACAGTTTCATCAGTTTCGTTACTTCGACATTTAAGATTTTAATTGACGAAAGACGAAACTAGGTTTCACGTTTCATCAGCACGAAACCTCAAGGTTTCGTCTAACAACTATAATTATGAATGAAAAAAAAATTGTACCTTGACATTCTTTTAAAATAGAATATATATGAGCTTCATGTTTAAGCGTTTTCATCTCCTCTTGTTGCTTATATGCATCACAAGTTTTCCATGCCACACAAAGATTGCCATAACACCCAGAAAAAACTTTTCCGAATGACCCGCCACCTATGTAATCACCTACAGTAATAATTCTTTTTAATGAACTTGCAATTGTTTCACTACTGCTCTTTGATCGTCTCTTCCTCTTCTTTAAACCAACATAATCATCACCATCACCATCAGAGTCATCATCATCAAGATCATAGTAACTAGAGTCATCATTAACTTCATCTTCAGATGAAAAATTGCCAAACGAGTCACGTCCTAATCTATTACCAACATTATTATTAATGGCAAGTTGACTGATATAGTAAATGCATTCGCGTAAAGTTGGATTAGTATCAGTGGGTTGAACGACATGAGAAACATAAAGGGTGGTTGGAGTTGTTTCTTCTCGCTTAAGAAAGTACGTATCGCTATAATTTGATAGAATACCATAATGGAGACCATTACAGGCCGTTTCACCAAATATCTGTGATAAGATCCTTTTCTTGAATTTAAAATTTGGATCGAATCTTCGACGCTGGTCACTAAAATCTGGTTCCATTATTCCACGCCGGTCATTATATTGATAAATATCCCAGAAATTATAACCGCGTAAATCAAGATTGTGGCGCGTTTTCATTTCCACCGGCATCTTGGCCACTACGTAGTCATCGGTGCATAAGATATAATCAGAAGCACCCAAGAATCTGGCAGGTGTTGCACCGAATAATCCCTGTGGTAATAGCCCTTCGACAGGAAATAATGCGTTAGTATATAAACGCGTTTTTGCATCGTCTTCGACTCTGAGAGGTTTTGCGCTGGTTGTGGGTGTGGGGAACTGTCCAGCTGGAAGATATGTTGTTGTACACCAAGTCTAACAGCCCGAAAGAATCCGGTCCATTCCCTCACGTTATTTGGAAACCGTGGGTAAGCAGGTGCTGTTGAAGTTGGATTAGTTGAATCTTGCGGGATCCATTGGCAAACTGGAACGGTGTGACCTAGTAATTGACCTGCTGTTTCAGTCATAATAGAAGAATATTAGAAGAGCAAAAATATTATCGTTCTTTTATAAAAAAATAATTATTATGTATAAGGTACGAACGAACGTTTGTTTTGAATTTCCTAATCGTATTACGTTATTTCAAATCACAATTAATTATTGGCTAATTTGTCGTCGATCATCACGTGATAGTAGAATTTTTCTGGCGATATGTCTAGGGTTTTTAAGATTTTTTATAACGTATTATACAATCGGTATAATACCCGTATAATACCAGTATTGTACACAGAGGGTTAGGTATAATACCATAATTAAACCCAATTTAGCCAATTAAATCGTTTTATTTGAGGACACGAAGATTTCCGATTTAAACAATAGATGCCGTATTATACACTACCATTCTATTATACCGGTATAATAAAAACCCTAGATATGGTATGGGGTGTTCATGTGAATAGGGTAATGAGTAGGCGGCATCCATAATTTACGTTAAACTAGTACTGTATAGAAATAGATAATACCATCTGGATTATTTTTGCATTATCTTTAAGATTTCTATAACAATACCGTTTTAACGTAAATTATGGATGCCGCCGTAGATGTGATCTTATATATTTATAATGCAAGCTGGTAATTGGTAATCAACAAAATGGGTTGGGTGTTATAAATGATGTCTTTTATGATTTAAGGTTAGGTATGTGTTGATTTATATGGTAAATATCTAGTAAATTATATATTATACGTATAAATGGATGAGCGATAATGCTAATTTGTTGTGGTAAGTGTTATGGAACAATTATATGCATTGGTTTTGTGAAGTGAAAAGGGTTATTGGATGGGTTAGGATTGTTATTATAGCTATAACAGAGTTAAAGTATATGAAGTAGGTGGTAATGAACTCTCGTAGTATTTTTATTTAGAGAGAGATTTGTTTCCCGTAATTTAGTGGATTTTATTGTATATATTTATTTTGCGAATGTTGAATTTGTGATAGTATGAGTATATCGGGATCAGTGTTTCGGCCTGAACCTCCCCCAAAGTCCGAAACGTTTCGCCCAGAGGAATTTTAGTTTCGCCCAATTTGCTCTGCAAATGATCTGCAAAATCGGGTTTCGCCCGAAACACTGAACGGGATAGCGTTGAAAAAGATGTGTAGTACGTACGTACGGGGAAAAGTGTGATTTTAAGTTGTACAGAAATATAAGGGGTATATAAGTGTAGAGAATAAAGTAAAATTGAGAGGTTACGCGTAAAGAAGATAAATTGATATGGTAATGTGTCGGAGAAGTATTTGTATGGGAGTTCAGTAGGGTATTTTGAATTGGGATATATAGATTTGTATAAAGTATGGGTGTTAGTTGTAAAGGAAGGGCTGGTGAAGAAGTTATTTGTAGTGGTCGTGGAATTTGAAAGTTTGTTGTAAGAGGTAGAGGGTTAAAGGTAATTATTGGTTGTAATGGCGCTTAATCCTTTTTGGGTTATTTGGTTAAGTCTCGAATATTCGGTTATTACAGAGGGGTCGGTTTTTATAGAAGTGAAATCAAAGGAGAGAATGTCTAGAGAGTCCCACACAAGGTAGCTCTACTCATAACGATGTAGGCCAGTGTTGGCACTGGACATATGTTCAACTATTTTATGTTATTGGACTGGACTGGACATTGGACTTGGACTAGAGTTGGTGGTGCAAGGCACTTGGCGACGCCATTGGTGCACCAATATGGTGCACCACCTGGCGCGCCAATATGGATATGGTGCAGGAGTGGCGAGCCAATTATATTTGGTTTGTTTTTTTTATCATTAATTGGCTTGAAATTTTTGAATTGACATTATATAAATATTATATTTCGATATAGAATAATAATCATTATGACTATATCTACATTTTAAAATCCATGCTTTAAAATCTTTATATATTTGACAAAGTTTGGTAATTTTAAAATAATAATCTTTAAACCTTTACTAATCAAAAGCAATACAAAAAAAAAAAAAAATTAAAACCCATTAAATAATTCTTGACTTGTGATCTTATTATTTCTTCATTTTCATAAAGATAACCCTTTTTTTGTTAGGGAATCTAGATATCATAAGTATTCTTACTTCTATTTCTGATAGTAAATATCTCAATTTAATGCTGATTATAATATTTCTTCTCTATTTTGGGATGTATTAACTGTGAGCTCAGTTCACGATTGCACATACAGGTCACGAGTATCTCAAATAATTGGTTTATTAATAAATTTGATGATGAAAGCAATTGATCACGGAGTTAATCACTTAAAATTACTATATAAGTAACTGGTAACTTGATTTAAACTCTTATTTTATTTTTTTCACAAAAGGGTAATGACTTTAGTAATAATTATGGAGATTAGAAAATATAACATGTTATGATGATAAAGGTTACAATATAAGAAACTTCTACTAGATATTTATATGCATATGTTGTACATATATATGTACATATGTTTTTTCACATGTATATATTCTAGTTAGATTATTTACAAGCATAATTATTGGAGTAACAATTTAAACTAATTCCAAATCTACACAATAATTTTAGTTAATCCATATATATACTTATATTATTATATTTAATGTATATATTATATATTAAATTTATATTAAAATCAAAAAAATTCATTTAAAAAACTAATTTAGAAAAAAAATAAACTCTAACAAACTTATTATGGTGCACCTAACGGTGCACCATGCACCAAATTATCTAAAAAAATATTTTTGGTGCACCATGAAAATTATATGCATATCACCCACTCTAACTTGGACATATGAGGTTGAGTCAATAGAAACTAAGCAAATATTTTTTAATAAGTTTTTTAAAAACTTTAAATAAGGATAACTTAACAAAAACTTAATCAAATTCAATAGTTTTTTTTTTAAATTAATTCTAAAATTTATAAAAAATTATTTAAAAAAAAATTTATTAAATTTGGTTAAGGTTTTATTAAGTTATTCTTGTTTAAATTTATAAAAAAATTTTATTATAAAAAATTTGCTTGATTTCTATTGACTCACCCCTATATGTCCAGTCCAATATGTCCAATAATGATTATATGTTGATTTATATATTATTGTCCAATACTTTTTGGTTCATGGATTAGACTGGACTAGACAAGTGTGGTCCAATATCTATGTTTAGCCCAACACTGGATGTAGGCTTGACCGGAAGCAAATATGTCTTGGTTTATACTAATCATGGTGTGAAATAAGGTGAGACCCTGTGTTTTATAGATAGTAAGAGCAAAGATGTTTTGGATATAGAATTGATGTTGTGAGTAGTATTTCTACAAACTGGACCCAAATCAGACTTTAGTCAAATCTGAGTCTGGTCTGATTTTTGGACCAGTTTCAAACTTTTATATTTAGACTTTTTAGTCAAGTCTGGGTTTAGTTCAGGTTTAGTCAGACTTTTTAGTCAAGTCTGGGTTTAGTTTAGGTTTAGTCTGAAGTTTGCTAACTAGTTTGAGTTTGAATATATAGTATTTATATGTATTTTTTAGTGCTAAACATGTTTACTTAGTACATGAAGGTAAAATTAATTAGTGAAATTTTGTAAATCTTGAGATTTTTTTTTTTGGCATTAAGGTAATCTCATTGGCCTGAGAAGCTTTTTATTAGGTTATAGATAATATTTGTTTGCAATTACAACAAGAGTACATTAAGCCACATGTGTACTTTTAGTGCTTAATTTAAGTAGTCTGCTCAAAATATTAGTGCTATACTAGAGGTTTTACACTATTTGTTATACCTGCACTCCAACTATAAGAGTTGTTCATTTAAACTTTTTGGTTCCAACTGCTGTTGCTAGCTTCTTAACTCATAGGTGTTACTCAATATTCATATACTAGATTTTGCATCTACTATATGAATTTTACACACTACCTTAGGACTTACTAATTTAAACTAGTCTATTCTCAAGATAAATCTAACAGAAGGACCCTGGACATCTCTAATATAGGTCATATTTTTTTTTAGCAAATTGCAGAAAATTTGGGTAGAGGCCCAAATTTGAGTTTTAGCAAATTGATATTAATTTTAAAATAGGTCATAATTGACTATTTCGTTGAATTACATCAATTTTATACATATTATATTTTATTTTTTAGCAAATTACCTACATTTTGGAAGAATTATACTCAAGAATAAACTACTTTTTTTTAAACTACTATGATTTTTCAAAATTCAAAAGAAGGTACTTAATTTTTGATTTTTTGATCAAAACTCTCAAGATTATGCAACTTTTCTTGAATTTTAAAAAATATAAAATTAAAAATACCAACATAATATATTTTTGTGTACTGAACAAGTTTACTTAGACCATAAAGTTAGAATCAATTAGTAAAAATGTGATAATCAAGCATTTTTTAGTATTTTTATTAATAAAATTATATAAAATATTAATATTCTCAAAATTTTACTAATTGATTCTAACTTTATGCTCTAAGTAAACTTGTTCAGTACACAAAAATACATTATTCTGGCATATTTAATTTTATATTTCCTGAACATTTAAGAGAAGACAGTGTTGTATATGGACGTATGTCTAAGCAAATTATTGGACACAATATTCAATGTCTATGTCCATAGACATGGACAAGTTTTTATATGTTCATGGATATGGACATCCATATTTTTATATGTCTATGTTCACGGATGCCTATGTCTATGGACAGTCCATGGACATGTCCATGTCCATTAACAACACTGAGAAAAGATACTTAATTTTGGATATTTTGATCAAAATATCCAAAATTAAGCATCTTTTCTTAAATATTTATAAAATATAAAATTAAATATGTCGAAATAATGTATTTTTGTGTGCTGAACAAGGTTTTTTTTTTTTTTGGTTCAAATTCGGCAATCATGCTACAACTTTATTAGGCTTTGTAATAGTTATTTAGACTATTAAAATTTTAGAGAGACTTATTGGTGAGTGATAAACTCTGAACATGTCGGCAGATAGCATATGAAAACTATCTCTAAACGACATGTGCCGCGCCCGAGGGCCACACAACTATACCTAAATTACGAGTTGTAACTCACCCGGTTATCCCAATTGGCACCTATATACGACCTGCTATAGTAGGTTTCTCCTCCATTCGACCTCTCCTGAAATTAGATATTGGCCGGCTCTCAACAGATGGTACCTACCGCCCATCATAACTACCTCCCTTTCTTTCAAGCTTCTTCCACCTAAGCTCGACTAAATTATTAACCCTTATTCATATATAAACAAAAAAATTTAAAGCCATGTTTACGAAAGACCTAAACATCTTAGAAAAAAAAACCTCATGGTAGAAAAAAAAAACAAAAAACAGAAACAAAATTCTAAAGTAGTCTAACATAAATTAAACAGAGATGAAAAAAATGAAAAAAGGAAAGGTAGCTATGACAGACACCTTGGTAATAAAAATTATATAATAACTGCAACTAATTATTATATCTCATTATAAAACGTTTGTCTTATTTTTAGGACTCATTCCGCGCACTGACCCAACTCGGGTGTCTCCTAAATGAGGATACTGTATCTATCTCTGTACTGTAGCACCGCATTTGTAAATCAACAAAACACATGGTTGCTTTCTACTGAGTCCATCCCGATTTGGTAGAAGTAAACAATGCTGATCTTTTGGAGGGAATAAGCCAAAATGCCTACTTTTTTCAGAAATTATGGTAAGAATGACAAAAAGCGAGAGAAAGGTAAAAAAACCAATAGGAGAGCACCAAAGGAGCGTAAGTTTTCTTTACTTTGATTAAACCCTCTGCCCATGATTTGCATAGTACTCACTTTTTTTGGTGAGTGATAAACTTTGAGCTTGTTGGCAAGTAGTGTATAAGAACTACCTCTAAACGATAAGTGCCGTGTTGCAAGGAACAGTGAGTGATAAACTCTGAAACAAGTCGGCATGTAGCATATAAGAACTACCTTTAAACGACAAGAGCTGTCCTGCAAGCCATTTTTCCATGTTTTACGATTTAAACCTCAACATTTCATTGAAGTGCCCCGATGTCCGGTGTTTTTTCTTGTAAAAAATTTTTGGGAAGTGGTGGTCCAGATGATTATCAGAAAGAGTTGTGTTTTGACCTCGTAATTTATAAAAGTTTAAAAGTATAGTATTTTAAAAAAAATTATCTTAAAATGAAACAAGTTATGTGTTTTGGCTTACTGATATTAGTTAATTTTAAAAATATTTTAAAATTAATTTTTAACCAATCAAAATACAGAATTTCAAATTTCATTATAAACTTTTTGAAAATATGACAAATTATATATAGTTATACCTCTTTATAATTATACTTTTGGGACCATAAAAACTTTTTTAAAAAAATATTCTTGTAAAGAGATATGCTTGTATAGAAGTCTTTTGTTATATATTAGATAGTAATTGGGTAAAAATATAGATGTGATTATAAAGAGGTTTTTATATGATATGATTATATAGAAAGTGATTATAAAGAGGTATAACTATAACTTCTGCCTTTAAATATCCTGCATTATATCAAAATAAAATTTTAAACAAGAGATATATAATTTGTTGCAATTGTTATATAATTTTTACAAATCTGGAGTTATATAATATTTTGTCTTGTTTATGTTTAGGCTTTTTATTTTTCTTTTTTTTTTACAATTTGTATCTTTTTTTTATTTTTTGTTGATTTTTTTTTTGTTATTTTCTTGCAAAAAAATTTTTTATTTTTTCTTTATTTTATGATCTTTGAGAAAAAGAAAGAATTAGAGAAAAAAAAAACAGTTATAACAAGATGAACAGCAACCTGCCAGTAATCAAGAGATATATTTATGAGGTATGAAATCTTTAAAAAGTTAAAAATTCTAAGAAAGATTAATAAGTTGGTTTAACAGATTGTCTTGAACATTTGCTTAGAAAGCTTTTATTAAACTAAAACAATGTTGTATATTAAAATATATCTGATAGGGTTATTATAAAGTTACATGTTCAGATAAATAAAAACATGACTGTTTAAAAAAAAAAAAACTTATAAAAACTAAAATTAAAACCTTATATCTAATTTATATTATATAATATAAAACTTCCTTTTTTATACTTTAATTCTAAAAAATTATTAAAAAAAGTAAATTTTAGTACTAGTAAATATTAAATAAATTCTTTAATTTTCTATTTCTTGAAATTTTAAAAAAATACTTAATTTTAGATTTTTTAATCAAAAAATCTAAAATTAAGCATATACTAATATAATAAATACAAAACCACATTAGATATACTTTATTTTTTTTTTGATATTAAGATGACTGGAAAACTTTTTATTAAAGTATAGATGGAGTTTTATAATGTAATTCCAACAATGGTACATCAAGCTATATGTGCACTTTTGGTGTCTAATTTAAGTAGTTTGCCTGAAGGTTCTATACTATCTGCTGTATCTGCACCCCAACTAAGAGGGTACTTATTTAAACTATCTGGTCCTAATTACCTCTATCTGCTTTTTAACTTGATAGGTTTTCTCACTAAACTAAGTAGATATTAGTATTGCTCAAACTAAATTTTGCACTTTGTTTTAAGACTTACTATCCCATATAAACCTAGTCTATCCTCAAAATAAACCTAACATAGTGGTACTTTTTCTACATATATATTTACATGCTTTTTCCTATAACTTTTTCCTAATTAGTACATATTGATCTGCCATTCTGTATTTGTATCTCACACTATTTTTGAGGTGCTGCCATTCTATAGATGTTTCTCAAGCACTAACCTTTCTAATTGGATATCCATTATATACTTCTTGGCCTTGTTCTGGTTTCCAGCAACCCTAGTACCCACGTTTAGACTATCTTTTTACCTAGATTCTTTATCAGTCCCTCCCCTACTTATAGCCGGCAACTCAGAAGGGTCAGTCTGCTCAGGCTTTAGATGCCTGAAGGATACACTTCTCTTGGTTCATAATTTCGAAGCGTATATTCTTTTTCTTTGATGTGACAACTCAGTGGTTCAGCTAGTATGTTCTTTGCCATTAGGACCTGGTTATTCAGTTCTCTGATCTTAAGCCCCAGTTTAAATTCAGCTCTCCTGTGATACTGCTATCTCCAAACTCAGGACTTGCCAAACAGGTTTTTGGTTATTCTGGTTCTCTGAATTTATTGCACTGAAGCTTCTATTACTAGATGGTGTGATCAAGGTTATAGATTAATCCAGATCCAACTGATAGAAAGCTGTCAACCATACACAGGCCTATTTTTCAAAATCATTGCCAGTGGGATTCAAACTCTAGACCTGCTACTTGGAGAGAGTGATGACTAAACTACTACACTAAGTTACCACACCTCTCATTAGATATACTTTATAATAAATACAAATTAAATAATTTTTTAAATTTTAAAATTTATACAAAATAAATATGTTTTATAAAACAATATTATAATTTATTTGTTTTTTGGTTCCTAAATATATTTATTTTAATATAAAATATTTTAAGTTTATTTTTCAAATAATTATTTGTATTAATTTGTTATTAAAAATTAAAAAAAAACATTAATATTTTTTTTTATGCATATTTAAAATAGATCTGCAATTACTATATACTACTTTGTCAATATAATAGAAGCAATTCTCACTATAAAAAGAACAAATAAGAAAGAAATAGGAAAAGTATAAATTCAGTATATGTACAAAAAATTTCTTTCAAAGTATATGTAGTTAACAAAACTCAAATTTGTCTTTTAGTACGTATAAGTAATCATTTTTGATGTTTAGAGTTATGATGAACGCTAATACGTAATGATTTTTTTCATGTTAACTGTTAAGGTAAGAGTACGTACGTATGTACATAAATTATAGGGAAACCTTTAATTAAGCGTACGACGTATTGTACTACTTTTACTCTTTTAGTTATCATTACAGATAGGAAAAGTTATCATGTGTATGACGAGACAAAACCCTCGGCAAAAGACGAAACCCTTGAATGATGAAACTCGGAAAAATAATGGCAATCTCTAGTTGGTAAAAATATAAGCTTTCAATTGGTAATATTCGAACCTTTTGTTATACATAAATAGATTTAATAATACATAACGGTAAGTAATCTAGCAATTAATTAAGTCATAATAAAAATAATAAAAGTAATATTAAATGATTTTAACAGAAATATTTACAAACACAAAGGTTTTGAAAGTTCCTAATTAGATATTAAGATTTAAGTTTATTATATACTGTTTCATGGAAATTTTCCAGTCAGCGTCCAAAGTCTTTCACAGACATTCCAAAGGTACATTGTGTAAGCATCCCCATGCAAAGATGTGCGTTTGTTACACGCAAGAGATCTTTCCAAAAGAGTAGATAGATTTTTACGAGTTTCATCTATAAAGAAATAAAATCAAAAAACAAAGAAACAAAACTACGTAAATAAGCACAAAATAAGAATATAAATGAATTCATACTTGTTAGGATTTCTTTTCTTGTTTGATCCAAAATACCATTTTCTCTGGTCAATATTTCTTCAAGAATCCATAACAAAAAATAAGCACTATCCTTACGCACAACATCTCTAACATCAGCATCTTTCTTTGTCAACAATGTAGAATCCTGCATTAATGATGCAGTAGCCTGATCGGTAGACAAAATCGGTATTATAGAATAACTATTTTCTTGTAATGGTGTTGATTGATTTTCATTAATAATACCAAATTCCTCAGATACTAGCCGCAGACACTCCTTTACTGCAGCTAACGAAACAGCATCCCTTAATTTTGGTCCAACATGATAACAAATGTGAATCAACAATTTAGCTATTGCATCTCGTGGATCTTGATTTTTAACATTAGGGCGATTGTTTGTAGAATCATTATCCTGTAATGTATCATATAAAATTCTCATACTAATAGTATGAATCGCCTTGATCAAAGATGAAAATGAATTTGCAAGCGCAATAATAATTTCGTTTTTTTCCGATTCAGAAATTAGAGGAGAATCGAAAAATGCTAATTGATAAAAAATAGAATAATTTATGTGTAAATTAATAGAATTCATGACTATATAAATGATAATAATAAAAAGATAAAATAAAATAAAATAAACCTAACAATTTTTTCACAACAGATTCAAAACTGTTTATACATAATGGATACGCTTGTAACATGCTTATATTGTTTGTTGAATTATTCTCAAACACTTTTAATAAACTTGATAACTTTAGATTCATATAATTAATGGTTTTGACAATCGTTTGTGTTATTACTGTTCCAGAGTTTACAGAATATGGCGAAAATGAAGAAGAGTCAGTGACTGATATAGCAGGCGGTGTTATATGAGCCAACAATTTAATTTGCTGTAAAAAAGACATTGCTTGACTGATATCGAATAATTTCCAAATTTCTATGTAGATGAAAGCATAAAGGTTATTTAATTATTTAATAAGAAAAAGATGAAAGGAATAAAGTGAGAAATTTACCATCATCAGCTCCTGGTACCCTTTGAAATATCTTAGATTCAGGATCTTGAAATTTTTTCGAGCCTCTTTTTGAAGTTGCACTTTTTCCAGATTGTTTTTTATTCGGTGGTGTTAGTGATATTACAGAACTCTGATCACCTTCAGTGATTGTGGTGGCTTGTTGGACCTTTGTTTTTCTTCTTTTGTTAGACGTGCCTTGTTTTGCAGCTTCGAGTTCTGAAATAATAAACGACAAATTAATTCAGATGAATTATTTTTATAAGCCAAAACGAATAATACTACCTAACTCGACAATACATAAGCGTTGCTTTAACGCTTCGACTTCGTTGGTTAATTCCAAGGCTCTCTCCTTCCAACGCTGGCCGTCGTCATTATCTGGGTCTTTATCATTATTTACCTCATTGCTTACTTTATTGCTTATTTCATTTCTTACTTCATTTCTTACTTCATTTCTTACTTCATTCCTTACTTCATTCCTTACTTCATTTCCTACTTCATTGCTTACTTCATTGCTTACTTCATTGCTTACTTCATTGCTTACTTCAATGTTTATTTCATTGCCTACTTTATTGTTTATTTCATTGCCTACTTTATTGTTTATTTCATTGCCTACTTTATTGCCTACTTCGCTGCCTACTTCATTGCCTACTTTATTGCCTACTTTATTGCTCACTTGGTGGTTTTCCTCAACAATTTCAACAATTACATGGTCTCCTCCTCTTGTTTCAATACAGTTTTTGTCACCGTCTGTATTATCACTAATTTGTTGCTTTTCTTGGGTTTTTGGAGATGTCCGATTTACAAATCGAATATACTCTATATATAAAAAATAATTACAGATTTTAAAAACTCAATACAGGAAAATTTAATGTTAAGATTTGATTTTACCATCGACAGTCCAATCCACAGGTTTATTTCGTAATATCACCAAAGCCTTTAGTTAGATCAAATAAAAGGCAACTTTATTATATAAAGCAATTTTTTTTATTTAAACAATAATAAAGACAAGAACTTGCCAACACGAGTTTTAGCCGATTATATGATGTATCATATGGTCTTTTTGAATCAGAGAACGACATTAGCGATGTTAAAACCAATAATAATTGTATGTAAGAATCGAATTGCTCTAAAGAAATATATACAATAAAGAAAGTACAAGTTATAGTAAATATTAATGATATTTTATTTTGATTTTTATTACTAATTTACTCTCACTAATCGGAACACCAAAGTAATATATCATTAATCAACTTGATAGTCCGATTAGTGAAAGTGGGACGAACTAATCTTAATTATTTACCGATACATATGATTTGGTTTTAAAAATTTCATTGCTATCGCGTACGTAATAACCATATGCTAGAGAGATAAAACCTTCACAATGCCTAAGTACCCGTACGTCACATTTTAATGTTTGATCACAATCGCGTTGCACGTAGCATACTTTTATGGATATAAATTTATGCCAGAGAAAAGACTCCTGATCAGGTTGTTTTATATTAATTATAAACAACGCGAGAATAATGACAAAAACAGATAATTTTGAATATATTATTAAAAGTTTCACCACAGGCTTGGTGAATTCAATCATTTAATGAAACAGAACGAGTATTGGTAGCGGCTATTGTCAACACTGGTATACTGTATATTAATAGTCGATTCTTGTCTAATCTCCAACATCCAACCCTGACTTTAATTGGTTCATAAATATATTACGTACGTACGTACGTAACAGAAAACCATTTATTTGTTAAATTTTTTTTTTTTTTTTTTGAAACATGCTATATTGTATGTATGGTAAATGAATTTGAAATTTGGAAGTACTCACATGTTATGCCGAATTTAACCTAAAAAACTTGTTAGCAATACAGTAACCGGAATTTCATTAACCATTATTAAGAATGAAACATTACATCGTATATATGGTTTAGGTTGGATTGTCGAGCTTACTATCGATATACTGTTTATCGATAATCTCTTTGCAGCGTCTATTAAAATTATAAAGGCGTAAGGCGATTATATGCAATTGGTTTTCGCTAAACATTTTGCAATAATCCAAAGATTTTTCCATGAAACAAAGCCCTTATACCATTATTCTGTAAATCTTTTGTTATTTCCTAAATTTCGTCATGTAAGTACTTAAAGATTATCTACATCGGTCAGCTCCGAATTCTCCTATTAAGGATACCCATCGACACGAAAGTCACTTCTAACTTGCCTCTTTAGGTTCAACGGAAATCTCTTACAATTTAACCACTGAATATTATGTTATTATATTATATATATATATATATATATATATATATATATACCTACTTTTATATATCAATGCAGTTTATTTGATTGTCGAAGATAATCCATGATCTTTTTAAGAAAAAAAAAAACTATACATCAAACATGCTTAAAACAAATTAACATTTATACCCTCAGTCGACTGATGGTAAATGATTTGATGATTTCTTTATTTATCTTTATACTCTTTTAACATCAATTAATCAATTTTTTAATGCTTTTTTTTTTTTTTTGACAGTTGGCAGTTTGCCTAAATCATATGAATTCTGCAGCCGAGGTGGTAACAGGTCATGAGACAATCAACTTGCATGAACTGACAGTTTTTTTTTTTAAACTATTATAAAAAGGTGAAATAAAACCCCGTATCGGTATCTTACCTTCTTTCCACCGTCTTGTCAAAAAAAAAAATAAATAAATAAATAAATAAAAATAACGGTTGGTTGACTATAAAATTAAAATTTTTATTAAATTCTCTCTTTCTATATGTTGTTGGACAAGGGATAGTGTCATGCACCCTGTTATTTTAATATTGAAACCTAGGATGACGATGGGGCTATTGTTCAATGTAATCCGGTTCTCCGATTTTTAAAGGAGCACAATTCCATCAACAATTAATTTTTAATTGATATATATCAATTATTAAAACTAAAATTAAGGCAGTGATCGTGATTACGTATTAGTGTATCAGTGTAACATACAGGGTCTATAGATGTGGGTGCATTAGTTATTGTTTACTGTATCGGATTATTTTGTTTTAACACTTCAATTCCCTTCTTTCTTCTTTTCAATAAACTGGCATAGACTCTCAAAAAATAAAGCTTGTGTCGATTACTTTTATTCAATATTCGTCATGGTGACTGTTTTTAAAACAAAATGCTGTTACGAGTTCCTTTTATCGAATGTTTCTAAGATTAATACAACGGTGTATAGCCCTCCCTTTGGAACGTCCCACGATATGTTTTGGCAGCTCGAGTACATACCCGTATGTTCAATTAAATATTTTAATACTAATATAAATACTCTCGATCTTTTCTGCTTCAATTGGATGTGTTTACTTCTCTTATCCATTCTCTTTTTGTGTGTTCAATTACTAATTCTTTTATTTTATTTCATTTTACTTTGTTTCCTTATCTTTTTCCCTCTGTTTGAACGAATTCATTTTTTTTTAGTCTTCCGCTGAAGAACCTGACCATTGTGCAGCCTTCCTTTTTGCAATTCCCAACCATGAAGAAGCAAATATTTCCGGTGTATGGTCAAGGAGAAGCGTACTAACTGCAAAAATATATTTAAAAAATGCAAAAAATCAAACATTCCTTAAAAAACAATCTGTTAAAATGAATTCATTTTCTGCAAAATTATCTGGTTGGGGTAAGTACTTTAAATCTTTTATTTAATAGTTCATATCATATTTTTAAGTTATAATTTAATTTTTAATTTATTTTAATTCTCATCATTTAATCGCTTTAAAGGTTGGGAGGCCTTTTATAATAAATCTAATTTGCCAGAGCACGTTCTATTTGGTGTAGAGTTCGACCGTGCTGAAATGGGTCTAGTTTCTCAAAAATGGCCACTTCCAAGTAATCAACAATTAAACGAGTCAATCCCCCAAGACTTGGTAAAAGCATGGGAAGGCCAATTAAATAATCCTGCAACCTCCGATTGTCAATTTAATGTTCAAGGTCAAATAATTTATGCAAATTCTTCAATACTTTGTGCAAGGTCTAAATATTTTGAACTTGTATTCCGAGGTCAATGGCTAGAATCTGATATTACTAAACAAGAAATTTTACAATCTTCTACCAAAGACCAAAAAGATTCACTTAATCATAATGGTATTATTCAAAAAAGATTTAATCACGTAATTGATGTTACTGATTTTCACCATCAAACATTTCTGGAAATGTTACGCTTTTTATATACCAATAAGGTGACTTTTGTTGATAAAAAAGATGAACAAAATTCACAACTTACCCCTTTGGATCTTTTTCGAATTGCTGACAAATATCTTATTGATGATCTACGTCAACATGCTAAATCAGAGATATTTAAAGATTTAAATGTTAACGATGCCGCTGAATTCCTTTTTGATACTGCTTGGAAATATCCTGAATTGAAAGAGCAAGCAATGAAATATGTAGTTCTTAATTTCGCTACCATTAGACAGACAAGTGGCTTCAAAAATATTTTGGCTGATCCTTCACGTTATCCTGCATATACAGATTTATTGAATGAAATTTTGGCAGAATTATTTCCTGCAACTGGAAGTGTGAACACCGGGAAACCTGCAAAAGAAGAAAACGTTTAAAAATAATACAATTGTTTAAAACATTCGATTTTACATAGAATATTTATTTCTCGTTTTAATTTTACTCCTTTTTTTTTTTTTTTTGTTTGGAAAATGGAAATTTTAGAATTCATTTTGTACATAGTACAATTTTCTCTCTTTTTTTTTTTAGCCTTTTTTTTTTACTATTATAATTCCGGTTGTCACTTTTTTTTTCTGTTCTGGTGTAACATCTTAATTCTTTAGTAAAATTGTACAAATTAATGTAATATTTTACTTTATAAATATATAAACAGGTATAAAGAGAATAAATATAAAAAACATTTATAGACGCAGTTCGGCCGTAAATCGTAATCATGAATGATCGATCAGATAATATAGATAATATATATATTATATAGTAATCACATTTTCCTATTCAACTAAAATTATTAAAAATTTCTTTTCCCACCATATAAAGTAAAGTCGGATATTGTGGCGAATTAGAGTATTGTGATGGAATATTATGACCATTGTGTTTATTGCATATCAAATGCTTTACAATGCTTCCTAATTCGCTATAGTCCTATTTTTTTTTATTTATCGTTATAATCAAAAAAAAAATTAACAGGATTTCTTTTTTATTAAAATCTTTTTTTAAAATCTTTTGTTGGTTATCGCGGATAAATAAAAATTTTTAACGATAATGTTACTAATCGGTATCGTAAAATATTTTTGCCGTGATCACGTGTTACGATTTTGTATTAAAATAAATTTTTTAGTAATACGTAAGTTATTAATAATTTTAAATTTTACTAATAAAATTTTATACGTACAATGATTTATGCAAAAGAATAACAAAAATGGATTCGCGAAGATTTTATATATTACTTAAATCATATAACTATAGAGATTAAACAATTTTAGAGTTCTGTATCATATATAGTTACTGTTTAGAAAAAAAGACGGTGACTATTATATTCTAAGAAAAAAAAAAAGTCAAATATTATATGTCTGTCACGCAGAATTTTTTTTGATTTCGAAGATTTGATTTTTTAAAATAGTTTGAATAATTAATTTTAAAAAGTAAAATATTTAGCATTTTTAAAAAATTTTATTCTAAATTTTTATAATTTATAAATTGTTACTATAACTATTTTTGTGCTTTTAAAAATTTGGTCATTATACTTATATTATATTGACTTTTTAAATTTCAAAAAAAATTTTCTCTTTATCCAGTATTAGATTTTTTTAAAAACTACAATCCATTAATTTATCTAATATTATTATATACTAATATTTTTAATTTCAATTTGTAAAAACAAATAAATAAAAATTATTTAACTTTTTTTATAGATTTTTAAACTAATTTTTTTTTGCAAATAATTAATTTGTTTAAAATTGTATTAAGTTAATTTGCTTTTATATTTAAATAAATGCTTATTTAATTTTTCTTTTATACAATATAAATTTAATTATGTTTTTATTTTGGACTAGACTAGTTAGTGCCCCATGCACTTTGTG